CTAGGAGGCGAAAATTGGAACAGCGGAATATAAAGGAAGCGTTAACGCTTCTTTTACACTTCGCTGTTCCAATTTTCGCCTCCTAGAAGTTTCGTTTACACTTCGGTCACTCTCCCCTTACGTTCGACTTACGTTCCAATTTTTATTTTTACCAGGGAAGTAACAGGGGAAAGAAGTATACGAAATTTATTAGTCCGCTCATATTTGGTTACCTAACTAGCGTTCAAAAAGAGGGAGTGAGCGGTGTATTGCCAACCACTATGACGTTGACCGACAACGAGATCGATTACGTTCATTGGGACGATCCCAACGAACTAGTGGATCGCCTTCGATTGCTCGACGCTTCTCGTCGAGTACGCAACAACGCTCATGATAACGAAATTCTATCGATAATCGAGGAACTTCGTGAAGCCGGGATTTATTATAAATTAAACTGCATGCGATACGAATCATTTAATCAACATCGAAATGCCGATCAACAAATTTGGAACTTCGCTCGAAAAAAGCGGAACTATATCACCAATGGAGCGGATTTCTCTGAAATTACGTGCGCGATGACGCTCTTTGCGTGGTCACAGCTGACTTTGATACAAAGTTGCGCAAGATTCGACGTATAGCGCTACCTGTGGATGATGATGATGCCGCCAACAAACGATACGTGCTACAGAATGTGCAAATGTTGAAAATTCGGCAGGATGAAATCAAGAAAAAGTTAGACACGCTTCAAGTAACTATAAATGAGCTTAAAAAAGTAGTTGGTGAAGTGAAAGATTTCATGCGTGTCATGGAGAAAAAAAGTAAATAAGATTGTACATCGAATTTCTGTGTCATCTTGCACGTTGTGTGCCACGACCAAACATGTCTGAGAAAAAAACATTGAGAAACGGAGGCTGGTCGAGGAATTGTACGCTCCGGCGAGGAGAAATTTTCCACAAAGACGCGTTATAGTTTACGGATATGATGACCTGTGGCAAGTAGATTTGGTTGAGATGCGACTTTACACCCGTTTCAACAAAGGTTACCACTACATTCTCACCGTTATCGATGTATTCAGCCAGTATGCATGGACCGTACCGCTCACAATCAAGAGTGGAAATGAGATGGCTAAAGCAATTGCAAAAATAATTTCGAGACGATGGAAGATGTCCAAAAAATTTGCAAACCGACATGGGAAAGGAATTTTACAACGTAAACGTGCAGAAATTCTTGAAAAAACATGATATAAATCATTACTCTACATATTCCGTAATAAAGGCGTCGCGCGGCGGACACCGCGGGCCCCTTCACGAAAAAAATATCATTAATAATTGATTACCATTTAATTATTAAACTGATTGATTAAATACCATTTAATTGCTTAATTATCATTTAATCGATAGAAATTATCATTTAATTGATTATAATTAATTATCAATTAATTGGTAGATTAGTTATCATTTAATTGTTTAATTAATTATCAATTAATTAAATTATTAATTAATTATTAACCCCTTGACCTATGTTAAGTGATGATTGAACACCGACGCACGATTGAACACGGCGCGTACGTAGAGAACACCGGGTATACGCTAAATGTACAATAACATGAAAACAACATTCCAACAGGCTCGTAGTAGGGGAAGAAGAATCGAGTCGGACGACGAAGGATGAGGAGTCTACGATTGTACGCCGCCGGAGCAGCATTGATTTACACTTAAATATATATATAGTTATAGCACAGTATAACCAGTAGGTCCACTCAGCGAAAAACTGAGTCTTCGCGCAGGTATCGCCGCGCAACTTTTGTTTTGGGTTGGATCCAATGAAATGCAAGACGATAGGAACGTACATACATATGTGCAGACAATTTATAAGCAATTACATCAGAAATTTGCTTTAGTGATCACTCCTACGAATAATTGTTACTAATAAAACGTTTTATTCGATTGAATTTATTGATTATTACACATTGAATTTATTGATTTACTGTATCGAATCCATATTACTTATCTGTTTTATTACTTGTGAGGCACTTTTCTCAATTCGGTCCTGGATTTAACATGATGGATGCTCACGTGATCCGGAAAAGGAGATCAAAGGTGCCGACACGAAGTGGACCTACTGGTTATACTGTGGTTATAGTCAGTAACGCAAAGTGTGTTGATTTCACCCTAACAATTGGCGACGAGGATGAGATTGTGAGTGAGGTGAGAACGCGCGCGCGCCATAGTGAAAGTATACAGTGCATATTGAAGCACGCGATGGACAGCGATCGCACATTGAAGAGGACCAGATAAACGAAGGACTACAGCATGACTACGTAGAAGTCGGAGAAGCGAGTGCCGAGCTCCTTCACAATCGAAATCTTTGATGCCACAAATACTACGTAGCGGAGATGGTTGCAACGACTGCATTTACAATTTTTAACATTCAAGGGAAGGATCGAGTCCTTTACTTGCTGCATTACATCGGCCCGGCGGCATTTGATATTTTGTGCGATCGGTTGGACCCGCAAGACCCATTTAAACAGTTGCTTGACGACCTCATACTGGGGGAATTTTACGAGCCTCAACCGTTGGAAATTGCGAAAAATTTCCGTTTTCACCAGCGACGCCAGGAAGCGGGCGAGAGCGTGCAACAGTTCGCGGCGGCGTTGCGTAAATTGTGCATCCACTGCCGATTTGGAGATTACCTAAAAATTGCGCTCAGGAACCAGTTAGTTTTCGGATTAGAAAACAAGAAGATACAGACACGGTTGCTGGAGAGAAAGGACCTGACGTATGATGAGGCCTTAAAAATAGCGATGGAACTGTCGGAAAAAAGCTCCGCCTCCAAGTGGCAGCGACTCAGCCAACGACACAAGTGGATTTAATACAGGCCGGGAAGAAACCACCGCGGAAGTCGGGAGTGTCGAGTACAGCCTACGGGAGGAAGAAGCCCCTTGTGAATAACTCTTCGAACATAGCGTACACAAGGAACAATGCGAATCGCCGTTTTAATAAAAACCAAGTCGCTAGCGCGAATTATGTGAAGGAAAGGAAGGGTAGTTCGATAAAGTGTTACAAATGCGGCCGAAGTCATTTGGCTTCACAATGTACCTTGAGTAGAGACGTCCGCTGCTCCGGTTGTGGTACCAAAGGACATCTGCAAAAAGTATGCTTCAAGGCCAAGAAACATACTAATCAACTGGAGGACATTCTCCAGCTGGAGCATCCCAAATACAGGACTAAATTCCACTGTACACTAAAGGTGGATAATAAACAAGTAAGATTTGAAATAGATAGCGGCTCCGCGGTGACCGTGATAAATCGGCATACGGCACGTGAGTTATTTCCACATTCGACCATTCATTCGACGGATTTGAATTTGAGAGCGTTTTGTAACACCGTAGTAGGAATAATAGGATACATTACAGTAAGAGTTAAATATGATCAAGTCGAACGCGAGCTAAATATTTACATTACGGACATAAACAGGAAACCATTGCTAGGTAGAGAATGGATCCGCCAGCTTGCGGTGCCTGGCGGAGTATCGGATTTCCTGGACTGCAATGCTATCGAGCAAGCGAACAAAGATACGCAATTTAAAGTAGAAAGTTTATTGCAAAAATACAAAGAATTACGTTCAACGGAATGGTCCAAAATAAATGGTATAAAAGCAAAATTGACGCTAGTTTCAACGCGACGCCGACATTTCTTAATGCGAGGCCCGTACCTTTTAAATTAATTCCGTTAATAGATAAAGAATTAGACGAACTATCGCGAGCGGGCGTATTTACGAAAGCGGAAACCGCAGAGTGGGCGACGCTGATCGTGCCTATTTTGAAGGCGGATAGACGTGTACTATTTTGCAGGGATTACAAGGCCACAATTAACCCGAAGTTAGTAGTCGATGAACATCCGCTACCGATCATAAACGAGATATTTGCGAAACTGACCGGAGGGGAAAAGTTTACAAAAATTGATCTACGCCAAGCATACTTACAATTAGATGTAGACTCAAAAAGTAGCGAAGTTCTGACGCTAAACACACATCGGGGATTATACAAAGTAAATCGACTAACGTATGGAATAAGGACCATTGAAAACATACTGCAGAGCCTTGACGGAGTCGCGGTATTTCTAGATGACATAGTCATCACAGGCGAAACAGAGATAATACATTTACAAAGATTAAACGCGATATTACAACGGTTACACAATTATAATATCAGAATAAACTTAGAAAAATCAGGCGATTAAGAAAATGCCACGGCCCAGTAACGTGCATGAAGTTAAAGCATTCGTAGGAATGATAAATTATTACGGCCGATTCATACGAAACCTGAGCTTCACCTTTTTCCTATTAAATCAATTATTAAGGTAGTACACTCGCGACAATACTATCCAAAAGTTAGGTCTTTTCGCGCGCTCGGTGGCGATATTCTCATTGCCGCCAGTGAGAAAAAACATTTGGTTGTGCCTATCCATAGACCGCACGCACACGCAGAAAAAAATTAATTCAGACAGACGCAGACTAACGCTCGACTGGCCGCCTCCTTCACTCGCCTCCATATGTCAATAAGAATTATCGAAAATTATATTTTTCAAAAGGCTCTATTTTCCAAACTAAATGGTAAAAAATTATGAATTTTTTTCATAATATCCGTTTCATATTCCTTCATCACATACTCGTTTTTTATTAAAATCTCAGTGCTAGTTTAGGCCCTACAAAAATAAACGCGACAGTTTTATCAACTTTGTATAGGCGACACGTATAAAAAATGCAATTTTTAATTGCTTATATCTCAGTATTGAGATGGTCAATCTCATTCTAATTGCACAAGCGTGTCAACGACTTCTAGTACAACATATAGTTTCAATTTCAAGAAATTCTCAATATTTTGAATTTCTGAGTGTACTACCTTAATAATAGAAGTAATACATAATATTAAAAATCAAGAAGTTATAAAATTATAGTAGAATTTTTTGATTGATTTAATA